TTTAAAAATAGAGATAATTTAATTTAAAATTTACAAATAAAATATAAAGAATAATATATTTTTTAATAATGAAATTATATTTTTAAAATATAGAAAATTTAATATTATAATTTAGTAAATCATTTGTTAAAATTATAAATATGTAAAATTTAATTTAATTTTTTATTTTCCTTTAATTTGAGACATAGGAAATGATGTAAAGTGTCATTATTTACGTGCGTCAGGAATCTAATGATTTAGTCATGAGTGTCATTGATGTAGAGTGTCATTGATTTACGCACGTTAGGAATCTAATGCTTTAGTCATAAATGTCATTGATGCAGAGTGTCATGATTTTTTACGCACGTCAGGAATCTAATGCTTTAATCATGAGTGTCATTGATTTAGAGTATCATTAATGCAGATTGTCATTGATTTACGCACGTTAGGAATCTAATGCTTTAGTAATGAGTGTCATTGATGCAGAGTGTCATTAATGCATGTGCGTCAAGAATCCAATACCTTTAGTGATGAGTGTCATTGATTGAACCCTATCTCCACCTTCTATTTAAATGAAACCATTCTTGGTTTCAAATGCAGAGTGCAATTGAGCCAAGTATTCTTGTTTTCAAATCCAGATATACAAACTCTTTGTCTACTATAATGTCTTCCTCTTCTTTTTGTGTGTTGCTCTTCTTCAATGGTAAAATCACTCAAACAAACGAAGGGGATACTTTTGTATCCTCTGACCCAATATTTTTCTCATTTAATCCATGTATCACACTTGATGCATTGAAAGCCAAGATCCAAAGAAGACTCAACTTACCACAACCACATTCATTTGATCAACTTTACTTTCGATATCCATAAGTGGTAGGCTGAGGAATGCTTAATTTTATATCTTTCAAGCTTACCGACGATGAAGACATTCATGGTATGATTCAAATGGTTTGTAGCCATAAACTTCTTACTTCTGCTCAACTATATCGAATCTCACACCAATAAATAATAATCCTTCACCTTCCTATGAAAACCAACCTTATTCCTATGAAAACCAACTTTTTTCTTATCAAAACCAATCTTTGTTAGACGAATTTCACCCACACACAAGTCCATTCACCCACCTAGATTCTAATCATTTTCAAAGAACCTATGACTCACCATACCTAAACGAAAATACTTTACCACATGGATCCTTTACCAACCTCCTTACATTTGGAGTCCCACAAGAAGAAGAAGAAGAAGGAGTTCCTGAAGAAGAAGTCAGTCCTTTCAGTGAGGGCTAAGACGATGCAAGACTTCAACAAGATGATGCAAGACTCCAATAAGACAAACAAGATATTGTTCCACAACAACCTCAACATGTAGGCACATCTTCAACCACATTCAGTTTCACATGCATAATATTGATTTACAAACAGATTTCAGCAACCCAAATTATAGACATGCACTTGACCATGTTGACGTTAAGTACGCTCTTAACACCTTGTTTCAAGGCATGGCTTTCAACACAAAGGAGGAAGTTCAACATGTTTTAAACACGCACCATATAAAGAAAGGTATGTATTATAGGGTTGAGAAATCGTCACCAACATTAATTGTTGCACAATGTGTTAATGTTGGATGCGATTGGAGATGCAAAGCGACTTTCATTAATAGAAGCCAAAAATGGGAGGTTCGTAAGCTATCAGGTGAACATTTTTGTTCATCCCCTGTTATCACACAAGACCATGTCAACCTTGGCTATGTATATATTAACAAAAGTATTCTTGTATTGGTGGAGAGTAATCCATCAATTTCAATTCCAACAATAATAACACATATCAAAAGTGTTGAAGGGTACACAATCTCATGCCGCAAAGCATGGATGGCAAAACAAAAGGTAATTGACGACTTACAAGGTAATTGGGAACAATTTTACCATGATTTACCCAAGTTGTTCAATGTCATGACAATATTTCTTAATGGATTTATTGTTGAGAAGAAAACAATGCCACTATACAATCAACAAGGTGAGATGGTTCATGATTATGTTCAATTCCATAGAGTATTTTGGACATTTAAACCTCGTACCAATGGGTTCAAATATTGCAAGCCCATTGTTCAAGTTGATGACACATTCTTGTATGGAAAATACAAAGGAACTCTCCTCGTGGCCGTGGCTCAAGACGGTAACAACAAAATCTTTCCAATTGTCTTTGCCATTGTTGAGGGTGAAACAATAGATGCATGATTTTTCTTTCTACATTACCTAAAAATACATGTTTGCCCTCAAGATGACCTTTGCTTAATTTTCGACAAGAACGAGTCCATAAAAAATGTTTACGCTAGATAAGGTAGTGGTTGGACATCAAAGAATTCAGTGCATGTGTTTTGTATTCGCCATATTATCCAAAACTTCATGAGACATTTCAAGAATGTAGAAAGAAAAAAAGTACTCATCAATATGGGTATGTAGTATTTTTTATTTCAAACTTATCACTAATTATTTTTATTTGTTTGACCATGTTTTAACAATACTAAATTGTTCATTTTTTGCTCATCTAATTTCACAGCATATGGGATGCACTAAAATAGATATGGTTGAATCAGGACAACTAAAAAGATGCTCTCTATGCAAGAATGTAGGTCACTCCAAGAAAAAAAATGTTCTTATCGTCAAGGAAATTCAAGTTAACAAGCTTAAATCGATAATTTTTCATGGCCTACATCTAAATTTTGGTTGATTTTAGTGTGTCTTCGAAAATATCATGTTCTATAATTTTAATTTGTCTTTTCATTTCAACAATTTTGTACTTTTTTTCTACTATTTCTAATATTTAATAAAATAATATTATCATTTATTTAATAATAAATTTAATTATCTATAATTATTAATACAAAGTTAATATATTAAATAAATTATACATATTTACAAATATAACAAATTAATTATTAAATTACATTATTTAATTTTCTATATTTTATAAATTTAATTTAAATATAAGTATAATATTGAATTATGAAATTTAAAATAAAATTTAAAAATAAGTATAATATTAATTTCATTATTAAATATTATTTTTAAAAAAAATATAATTTAAATATTAAATATATTTTTCATATTCTAAAAATTAAAATAATTTTGTTTTTAATTTTTAAAAACTAAAAATAAAAAAAAGGTCCATGAAAAATTGGTTATTAGATAATCGATTTCTCAATGAGATTTTAATTTTTTTTTAAATTCTATTGAGAAATCAATTACTTAGTAAGTTATTTAGATAAATAAAAATAGATTTAGGTTATTTAAATAAAAAAATATTTTTAAAAAAATCAGATTTTTACCTCGTTGCGAGTAAATCTTTTCTACAATAAAAGAAAATAAAATTTACATTAAATACCAATTTTCACTGCATCGAAGTGAAGTTTCAATTGTCACTTCGATTTTTTTAAGAAAGAAATGATGTTGCAATCAAGTGAACAGTAATTAAAACACTTATCAAAGTGGAACTAAGTTTTCTTTTCATAAAATAGACGAGTAACACAAATGTTTTTTTTATTTTGTTTGACCACAAATGTGTTTTTTTTTTCCAGAAGTAACACAAAAGTCAGTAACAAACTTCTAATGCATTTTAAAAATAATTTTATTATTTAAAAATGGTTTGTTTTTAGTTCCTAAAATTTAATATAAATTTATATTTATTCCTCAAATTTAAAACTGTTATTTTTAGTTTCTGTAATTTTTTAAAATCTTATTTTAGTTCCTTAAGTTATTAATAATATATTTAAAAGTAACTAATTAAGACAGTTATGCAACATCAACTAAATTTAATGTGATATTTTCATTAATAAGGACACCAATAAATAGACTTTATACAATAATATTTGATAAATTTCTTAACAACATTTGAATATAAAGGCTAAAATAAATTTTTTTAAAATTATAGAAACTAAAAATAATAATTTTAAATTTGAGGGACAAAAACCAAATTTACCCTAAATTTAAGGAAATAAAAACATATTTAAATCTTTAAAAATTTATAAATAATAATAAAATTGAACAGTTGACCTTATTCAAAAGAAGGTGTTGGAAGTAAAATGTGTGGATGGTATTGGTGAAAAGGGTATAGAAAATAAAAAAGAAATTAAATAGGCAGCAGCAGCGAATTGCATCGCAGGCAGCGTAACACGAGAGTCGCATCATCTTTTTTTTTGGTCCGTTGAAAAACAAAGAGTGTGGCTTTCGTCGTTTGAGAGAGAGAGAGAGAGCGAGAGATGGCGTCGACGGTGGTGGCAGAGAAGAAACCTAAAACGAAGATCGTGTGCACGCTGGGACCTGCATCACGCTCCGTCCCTATGGTCGAGAAGCTTCTGCGAGCAGGCATGAACGTCGCTCGCTTCAACTTCTCCCACGGCTCCCACGAATACCATCAGGAAACCCTCGATAATCTCCGAGCCGCCATGGAGAACACCGGTATTCTCTGCGCCGTCATGCTCGACACCAAGGCACGCTTCCTATTTCATTTCACTTTCTCATCGCCGATTTTCTTTTTATTTATTTATAAATCTCCTGTTTCCTTTTATAATTGCTCCAGTTTCTGATTCTGATTGGAATAGGTTTGTGAGAGGTTGTTGTTATCGAATCTAGCCACGTGTGTGCTGTATGGACTGTAAACTGTGAAGTGAAATCTGAGAAAAGTTTGTATCGAGTGCTTAACTAATCTTGTATGAAGAAAATTAAATCTAACCTTGAATCGGATGTTGGAGAATCGAGATGAATGAATCTCTTTTCATTACCTGATATGCTTTATTTATGTGCATAAGGTTTTAAATTACGGTTGGTTGGATTTAGTCACAACCTGTATGGTGTTGTAGAAAATCGTGAACAAATGTAACTGACGCATTTAATCTCGATCTTTGAAATTATTGTGAACAAATGTAACTGGCGCAGTATTGTAGAAAATTATTGTGAACAAATGTAACTGATGGAGTGTTGTAGAAAATTGCGAACAAATGCTACTGATGCAATTAAGTTGGATTGATATTGTAGAAAATTTGTGACTGATGCAGTTAGTTGTGATAGTTGATATTGTAGAAAATTGTGAAAACAGATGTGACTGATGCAGTGGACCATTTTTTTTGAAACGTTCCATCCATAAACAAGTTTTTTTTTATTTTTTTTTTTATTTTTATTTTATGTGACTATCTACGTTGCTGTAGGGGCCTGAGATTCGGACTGGGTTTCTCAAATATGGTAAGCCTATCCCACTGAAACAAGGTCAGGAAATAACCGTTTCCACTGACTATAGCATAAAGGGTGATAACAAGATGATTTGTATGAGCTACAAAAAGCTGGCTGAGGATGTGAAGCCCGGGAGTGTCATACTCTGCGCGGATGGCACCATATCGTTTACAGTTTTATCGTGTGACAAACAAGCAGGTTTGGTTCAATGCCGATGTGAGAACTCTGCTTTTCTTGGTGAGAGGAAGAATGTTAACCTGCCTGGAGTGGTTGTGGATCTCCCAACCTTGACAGACAAAGACAAGGAAGATATCTTGAACTGGGGAGTTCCCAATAAGATTGACATGATTGCTCTTTCTTTTGTTAGAAAAGGTTCTGACCTGGTGGAAGTCAGGAAAGTTCTGGGAAAACATGCTAAGAGCATTATGCTCATGTCTAAGGTATGTTTGTTGCGTTCTCCTTTATGGAAAATCTAAGTGATTGCAGATCTGATTAAAAAATGTGTTAAGTGTTCTGAATCGGGTATGATATGCTTGAGATGCATATTCCATCCACATCAATGTATGTTATAGGATGTCATCTGACCAAGGTTATCAAGTCAAACTATTTTTCCCCGCTATGTATCATTATTTGTATGAAATCATAACATTCAAAGACAATGACGACTAACTTCAAATATTTCATATAGATGATATATAATTAGTGTTCAATTTAATAATTTTAAATTAGAAATAGATAAAAACAACTTATCCAATAGTCATAAAATAAATTAATTAGTTATATCCGACTTTTTGAAGCTTCTATTTTGGAAGTATGTAGACAAAACAATGAAATAGCCAATTGGAGTGCATGCATTGAATGTGTGAGTGACAAATAAAGTCCTGGAATAATTAAACAGGAATAGTTAAGAAGTGCCCTTTAAGTTTCTTTTTATTTGAGAATTTCAACTTACATGTCTTTTAAAAAAAGAAGAATAGTTGAATTATGTGATTTGCATTGATAATATGAAATTGCATTGATTTATTCATGTATCATAAGGTTCAAAGTCATTTGAGATTCATCCAATGATACGAATCGGTAACTAGTTGCATTGTATAGTAAGTCTTGAATTGTAAGATTCTACTCCCACGTAAGTGTCGTCTCAATTTTTTTTAAACTAAGAAAAACTAGCAAATAAATGAAAGAGTG